TCAAAAGTGAATAAATTACCCGTGGGTTGATTTCCATAAATTAATTTATATAGTTTTAACTAGGGCCTCATATCCAATCAGTGATACTCAAAGTGTGACAGGTTTTGCAGGATTAGGTTAAAAATAGTCTGGAATAAACTACAAGGAGTAAAAAGAGAAATGTCAGAACATTACTGTAGGTTACCCTAAGTAGTATTGTGTGCAGAGTGGGAAGTATCACACCATGTTTTTATTTGCAGAAGGAATGGTTCACTGCAGGATAAACTAAATGCTGAAATTCACACCTGCATGTTCTTTCTGGTTTATTTCACTTTCACATTAGATATGATTGTTTCTCAAAGTACCAATGTAGTATGTTCTTAAAATCTGTGTGTCCCTGTCACTTTTTTAGAGGTTTAAAGTAGATAGAAGATTTTTTGTTGCAGAACAAACCAATGTGTGAAGCTAGAGTGGAAGTTTATAGGCAGGAAAAAGCCAGAACTTCACAGTTGCACTGCTGGTGTCCACAGAACTCTCCTGACACACAATAAACTGTATACTGTATTGCAGCAGTATACAGTGCAGTACTGTTCATAATGCCTGAGAAGGGGGTTAATTTTAATATTAAATGCACTGTTTTCAGGATTTCTGTAGCACTGATTTGCTCCCTAGAAAAGTCTGTAGATATTGCCAGGTGCTCAGCACTTTCACTTTAGGTCTAAACACACATTTTGAAGCTAGTGCTGTGCAGTTTTTCATCTGTTGGCTAGTGTAATTTATACAAAGTCTTTTAAAAACATCTTTACTGGTTTTATGGAATCTCATTCTCATTCAGAGACCTTTTTCTGCTATTAGGAAAATATTTTTAAGGCATTTGCTGAATTGTTCCAAGTTGCTTCAGCTAAACCTGCACCTCTTGGCATCTGTGATTATCCATCATCAAGAGCAATATATGCCATTGACTTGATGCTAAAATGGGACACCAGCAGAGATGGTGAGAAACTCCTTTCTTTGAATGTTGAATTCTTTATATTTGTGGACATTTTCAGAAATGTATTTCTTCTGTCTGAACTCTTACTGTTTTACACACAGTATGAGCTGCATGCTCTGTGCCTCCCACTGACATCGAAGTGGATTTGGAGTTGCAGATCTGTGGAGTTAGCATCTGCTGTGCTGGTTAACAGTAATGATGGGGTAGTGTTAACTATGGCTGAATCCTTGCTTCCCTTATGACCCTGCTACTGCCATTCTCTGATTAACAAAAAAACGCAAAAAACCCCCCCACACCCCCCCAAAAAACGCAACTGTACAGCAGTCTAGTCTCTCTGACAGCAACAAGTTTTCTTTCCCATTTATGGTGAGACAATGTTTGAAATACCTGTCTCTTTATGAAAACCTTCAAAAGATATTTTACTGTCTGTGGCTTCTAGGCTTAGCCCAGTGTTTTCAATGTGCAATTCCTTTTTAAAGCAGGGAAGGGACCAGTTTCACCATTTCAGTGGTATTGATGTCCTCAGGACTGTCACTCAGTTGTTGCCAAATCTCTGCAAGAACATGTATATGAAGCCGCTTCATGTTACTGCCACAGCATGGCTAACAATTACCTGGAGCCTTCCTTCTAGCCAGTTGTGGAGCACTGGTAGCAAAATCTGGGTGAATTCTTTGTTATCTCACCAGGAGGCTCAAAAGTGTTCTGTAAGCATGCCCAACCCAGATGCATGTCTCTTGTATGTAGAAGAGCAACAGAGGCACCAAACACAAAAAGGAGTCCTGGTGGACTATTAAAGAGAATGGAGTGTATTCTTGTGACCTTGTGGTCCTTGGGACACAGGGAAAATACATTGTTTGTGCCCAGGTTTGCTGGAAGAGTGATTGGATGTTGTATGTTGGGCAGATGCCCCTAGCCCAGTCCTGTAGTGGCTGTAAGGGTCAAGCAAGACAGCTGTATTGGGGAGATCCTATTCAATTGCTGCAAATGCTCATTCTAAATGAGACAATGAATTATAACAATGATTGTAGAATCCATTGAATTACGGTCCTCTGGTGGTGGAATGGACCTTTGTCCCTCCAGAAAAACCCATACCCACTGAAATAAAAACACCCTGCTGGTTTGCCAGATGGGAGTGTTTTTCAGTCATTTCATATATTCTGGCTTAAAGACAGATTCAGGATCTCTACAGAGCTTGTAGTAAGAGGCAATGTTTGTGTTCCCCTTTACAGGGAAAAGAATTATGCAGCCTCAGATACTGGAGGTGAACTTTAATCCCGACTGTGATAGAGCCTGCAAATACCACCCTACTTTTTTTAATGATGTCTTCAGCACCCTATTTCTGGATGAAACAGACAGCTGCCATGTGACGAGCATTGTCTAGCCACAGGAGGCTTATCTCTTAATAATTTCCTTCACAGATACACTTAACAGCAAGATTTATATTTCAGTTCTATGAGCTGCTGATGCAACTATTTTCCTATACTGGTAACCCAGGAAAAAAAGGAATTCAAATCAGAAGAATATGCATATACCATATATTGTATTGATAATAATTTTGTCTGTATTTTCCTTGTCTTGCTTAGTTCTACAAACGATCGGTTTGTGTTGACCAAATATCTTGTTTACTGAATATAGGAGACCTCAAAATAGGACAGTAACTGGAGCAATTGACTTGTTTCTCAGGTAGCCAGATTGCTTGCTTGCTGGGAAACATTGCACAAGTTACTCATGACAACATTAAAACTGTAATTTACTGAATCATGTTGGAGTTTGTATATCTTTCTTATCTCTCCCTTTGTTATACAAAGATGTAAAATGTTCTGATGGGAATATGGTATTTCAGTATAATGAACTACTAGGGTCATGACATTAAAGATGTGATGGCTTTTTCTTTTTTTTCTTATTTAAAAAAGAAAAAGAAAATCCACAGCATTTAGGAACCCTATACTGCTGCCTGTCATCCTTACCCTGCCCCTTAAAGAAACTAGATTTTTGAGAAGTGGTCAGGCAGGGATTGAGAAGGATGCAATATCTAGAGCAGCATGGGAATACAGAAGAAGCCCAAAGGAATGAAAGGGGCCTGGGAAACTGCTCAAAGGCCAGGCAGTCTTTGGACTTCAAAGCTTAGGCCCTAAGATAGAGATATTTGGGAATGGGGTGTCAGTTTGAAGTAAATAATTCCTAATCTTTCCTCCCTTCTCAAATCAGGATAATTTGGTGAAATTTAGGAATTTGATGCTACATGTATGTTGCTTTGGATAGATGTACAAGTTGCAAAAATTCTGCTGACTGTCAGGAAATATGTGAGTAGATTTTTTTTTTTTATCTAGTTGCAGCAATCGGGATCTGCTTGAGAGCAATGTACAGCTATAAAATTGTATTATGTTGTAAACCTTCTTTACTTCAAGCTTTGCAAATATGCAGCATGCTATCTCTCCTGATGAGGGAGCAAGAGGGATATTTTAGGCTATCTCAGGCCGATCTGCAGAAGCCTGCTTCTTTCCACTGACTGGAACATAGGCTGGAGAAATAAACCATCTGTCTCCTATGGAAGTTTAGTCACTGCACAGGTGGAGCAGCAGGGAGAGCTGGATTGCACAGTCAGAAGTGGTGTGACAGCCTGATCACAAGTCAGAACTTTTTTGGACTCCTTACTTAAATGTGATTAAAGAAACATGGTGGAAGTGTTAACATAGATGGTGCAACTGCTCCTGATGCAGGGAAAACGTTTTTCTGCAGTATAGAATACAGTAATGGGTGTTTGAAGACTGGATGTAAGGGGATATGCAGTACTGTTCAGCAGATTTGTCACTTGTATGACAGCGAAAGACACCTTCTGCCTTTGAAGTACCTGAAAATGTAACAAAGGGCCTAGGGATCTAGAATAAAGGACAACTTTTCTCTCATCATGAAGAAGAAAGTGATGTCATACTTGGCAAACGAGAAGAATGACTTAAAAAGCAGTAAGATTTGTGCAGTGGGACCATAATCTGTGGGCAAAAATAGTCTCTTGTGCTGTTAGACAAAAGATATGTTTTTCTCTTTACAGGAAGCAACTGTTTGAACTAAGCATCCCAGATTTTAGTATGTCAGCTACCATATCTCTGAAGAGGAGAAATCCTTGTTGCTATTTCTAAGCAGTTAAAGTGAGAAGGTGCAGGTATGAGACCCTAGTTGCTACGGTGTATGTACTGCCCTCCTGGGCAACTGACCCACCTGTGGCTTGGCTGCCAGCTCCACTGTCAAGGTCTAAGGGTGAACTGGCATCACACTGAGGGCCAAGGTATGTTAGTGCTATTTGGGCAGTGCTGCTGGTGATGCTTCAGAGGTGTTCCTAGATATTTAGATCCTCTTAGTTTCTCTCTAGGTGCTCTGAATTTCCTGTTTTGTCTTGCCCATTGCAATGGTGAGAAGAGACAAAGGGGTGATCTTTGAGGCTACAGCATCCTATTGCATTCAGTATTTTTCAGCTTTAAAACCATTTAAAACAATAAAAACAGATGAACAAGGTTAATAAGTTTACATATAGTTTAATGCATTTAGCTAACAATAGATTGCACAGTGCTTCAAAGTGGGAAGGCACAGATTGTGAAAAAGATCTTGAAAAACATTTCTGGAGTACAATGACCAGAAGATAAGTACCTGACAGCTGTAGTGGGACACACCATACATTAAAGCTCTGTGTCTAGTGGTAAATAAGAAAGATTAAGGCCACAATTATGCCTGTCACTGTTTGGAGCAGCTTTCTGGAAGCTGTGTTAATATAAGGCTGGGTTTCTTCTGAACATAATGAAGTTGGAGCTCATATGTATTTCTGGTAATAGTTAAAATGCTGTAGTCATATAAAGTGTAATGCTGTAGTACAGAAAACTAGTACTTTTAAATCAGCATTATTCTTTTTGTTTGCTATAAAACCCAGTTACTCTTTGTGACTTGCCAAGTAAAGACATTTGCTTTAAACAAATACTGATTTGTCAACTTGTACTTAACAAACTAGTGGTGTAAGTAGTTCAGCTAAAAACAAAATAAGGTCATAACTTCATTTAGAAAAATTCTTGTGGAAAAAAGTTGTCTTGGCTGAAAACCATTTATTCATATAGGTTCTTTTTGCGATTGTCCTTCCAGACACGGTAATTGAGTGCAGAAGCCATGGTTAGCCAAGCTAAATAAGGAACCATCAAATAAGCTGCTGTTTTGTTGATGTTATACCAGGAAGCAGTTGTAGCTGTTGCCATACCAGTGGTGAGCAGGAGAGTGACCAGCCCCTGAAACACAGGGAAGTGTTATTTTCACTTGTTGCATTTTCTTGACTAGATAGTCTTTGTGTGGCTTTTTCCACTTAGCTCTGGGATTTGTTGGATCCCTCCATGAGTTAATTCCTTCTCAGAAAACAAGCCAGCAAAACCAAACAAGACGTTTCTGCTGAATTACAAGTTTAATTGACTCATAAAATAATACAAGAGTCACAGAGATGGCCATTGCAGCTGGGAGCAGAAGAGGGAGAAGAAAATCCCCCTCACCGATACCCTCTTTTTTTTGACAGCAGGAAGTGCTCCACTGAGTACAAACCCAATGCAACACTGAGCAAGTCACTTAGCTAGGTAAATTTACCCAGTCTTTTCATGTCATAGATGCTGCCTGAAGAGATGCCATGTGAAAGAATCAGTGATAGATTGCAAAGTCTCCCACTGTTACAGCATTGCAAATATATGTTAAGAGAACCAGGCAAGTATTTTCTATTTTTATTATTGATTTTTATTTCTGAGGCAAGCTGTTTCTCTTCAGACTGCAGAAAATTAGTCTTGTCTAAAAATGCATGCTAATTACCTGAGTAATGCCATGATAAGCTTCTCGCTGCTGTTTGCCAGAGATACCTAGGAATTTTAGTGAGGCATAAATCTGCATTTTCTAGTCACACAAAGCCCTTGTCAAGGGATGGCAGAAAGAGCTTCTTGAAATCTGAACATTTCAGGATGTTGTAGATAATGTAAATTCTCTTAAGTGGCTGCTGGGATGCATTAAAGAGAATTTTTAAAAACTTCTGCAAGCCACGTTCTGTACTCAGCTCAATTTCAGGGAGAAAAGATCATGATACAAAACTTTAGTCTTTCCACCTTGCAAGTGACAGCAGAAGCCTGATTGAGAAACTACTTTTCCACTTACCCATCCCATTTTGTGTGCTCCAAAAAATATTGGAGTCCATGCCCAGTTTAGTGCCAGCTGCCCTGCATACAGACCCAGAGGAACCATTGACTCTTCATTGAAGCCCCCCAGTTCATCCCACACCAGGTAGGAGCCGTATCTGGAGAAAGCAAATAAAAGGTGTCATTCAGTACTTTGGTTAGAAAGCAACCACACATTCTTAATCAAATAAAATTACTTCAGTGCTAGGATCTACATTAATTTGGAGAAGTAGATATACAGGTACTGCTTGGAAAAGTAACTGCCTGCACAGGGTAGATGACCTGCTTCCTGCAGACATCAATATGGAGGGAGAAAAATTCCCTATCCTGCCAGAATTCTCACTTCTTAGATGCAGAAAAGCAGATGAAACACTGCACTTCAGTCTTAAAAGATGCTGAAATGGAAGCAAGGATAAAGGTAAAGGTCTAAAGAGTGAAGTAACTGTTAATTTTAGTACTAAGAGGTGGTGCTTTAAAAACAAACCCACAAGCCACTAACTTTAAATTAATATAGGAAAGATAAGAAGAGTGACATCCTAAAGGCGAGTATGGGGATGGTTAGTATGAGAGCAGGAGGAACCCTATAGTCACTTCTCAGAAGGAAGGGGATAAAGCTGAGGTGAACAAAGATTTCCAGAACCTTCCTTTCTGCAGGATCCTGGATACAGAAAGATCTTCCAAAAATGTTTTGAAGATTTTCAACAGATCATCTTAATGCCATAGAAGAACAGCTCACTGGAGGGATCCCAGAACATAAGCTGCTAAAGAGAGAATTCTCAGGATTTAGGAGGTTTATTAATGTAAGATTTAATTTTGCCTTGAAGGAGCCTGGTTAGAACAGGGAGCATTTGACACCTAAGACTATTTCTTCTGCTCATTTGACTTTCCCTTTAAACATTAGCTAGATTTCAGTCCAGATGACTGCACAGCTATTCCAAGTGACTACAGTAGAATCCCATGGATAAAATGCCTTGTTTCAAAATTAGTAATCAAATACTGATCCCATCCTGGTAGGCATGTAAGCTGGACAGTGCACTATGCTGGACAGCAGGTGGCTCATATGTATTTCTTTGGGCAGCGGAGCAAAGATGGAGACCAACTTGTGTTATTTTTTTCAGGAGCAGACAAACATCCATAGGAGTAATTGCAAGAAGTTAATAGTCTTTTGTAGCTCCTACAAGAAGGATTTTCTTCTTTTCTGCTTAACCCAGTTAGTGACAAAGCTTCCTTCTTGGCCATTAGTTTCATAAGGACTGAACAATGCAACTTTCATATCTTGGCTGTTTATATCTTGGCAGAGATTATTTAAAAAAAAAAAGAAACGGGGGACAAAGTAAGAATTAGAAAGCTTAACAGTTTATCTTTGTAAAAGGCATTGGGACCCATATCTGTTCCTAAGTGATTTACAGAGCCAGAAAGTGGACTTACAGTTGTTTGTACATCTAACTGACTTCAGATCAAGATCATGATGTACAATCTGCTAGAAAGCTAAATGACAAAGACATGTAAGCTTATTAAATCTTGCTTTGAGTTATTTCTTGCTTTTAATATATTCAAGAGATCCTAAAGGCATGAGAGTTCTTTGATTTTCAAGGAATGTGCACATGATAGATTAGAGAAGGAAGTTCAGGTACTAAAAATTATCTTTTATCTGAGCTAGATGTATAGTACATTACTGGGACCATTCACCTCAGAATATACTGGTTCTGGTATTATCAAAGTAAGTTATAAGCTGTCACAATTTTTATTAAAAAATACTTGATATCCAGGTTTCCTATGAGGAATCCAGAAATGGGATTACAAATGGTATTGTCAAATTGAAAGAAGTCCTTCATGGGAAAGCCACTCAACTCTTGTCTCTTTGTTAAGACTTTTTTTTTTTTTCCACAGGACAGGAATGATCTGATTCATCTGCTTATTAATTACTGGAATATATACGAATAGAGACCAATTTTTAGAAATACTGTGTAAGAAGATGAAGCAAAAAGAATACTGATGGGAAAGGAGGGACAGTACATGAGGCTGCCAAAGCTTTTCTGGAAAGAAAATTAAACCAAAATGGGGACAATGTGTGAGAGCTAATTTAATGTTCAGATACAGTTTCAGGCACCACATAATTGCTATATTTGCAACAGGTGGTGTGGTATTTAAGGTAACCTGCAGGGTGACTATGTAATGTTAACCTGGAAAAGATCTGGTCTCTCTGAAACTTCATAAAGTTAGCCAGTGCTCTATACAGACTACAAATCACTTAAAATGTGTCACAATGGAAGAAATGGGAGGGATAAGCTATAAAAAGCATATTGCAGCCTAAAAACTATTACTATTAGATTAGCAATAGTATGTGCTTGTCAGCTAGGAAAAAACATGCTCAGTTTTAGTCTGTAGCTAGTTCTTAATGACCAAATGCAGAAAAGACAAAGCATCACTGCTTGTGAGCTACACCAACCTTTGAGGCTCTAGGAGCAGAGTGCTACCTCTTCTCTGTGGCACAGCTCACCACAGTTGACATAAAAGCACATAATGTTGGGTGGACAGCTTTTAGAGCATTTTGTGAGGAGTATCAAAGCTACCCAAACAATCTCCTGAAACAGCCTCCCTCTAGAAATATTTTCTCAAAGTAACAGCTGCCAAAATACACTATTATTAAACTTTAAGGTACCTGTGGGAATGGTATTTAGCCTTGTGATTCCCTGTTCATTTGACAGTAATTGCTGTGCTGCCAAGTATCTTAAACCAGTTAAATAGGAGGCAGTAGATGGCTTCAGACATTTACAGTTTGACACCCTGGCAGTTTTATTCAAAAGGAAATGTGTATTTTTATTTTGGTTTATTTTAATTGAGCTCTGTTAGAACAGTTCTCTTTCAGTCCCATCATTCCCCCCTGCCTCACCCCCACCTTCTTATTTTCCTAAAACTGCTGAAGGACATAGGAAGAAGAAATCCTAGTGCTGCCTTGCTCCATCACTGCCAGCTTAACAGGTCTTCCCCTTTGAATGAATGAGGAAAGCTCAGTAATGGCAGCTTTTCAAACTCCTGCTTACAAGCGTATCAAACCCACACGCAACTCCCCAAACATGTTTTTACCTGTTAAACAGGCAGCTTGACACAGTTTTTTACAAACTTAGAGCCACAGGAACACAGTAGTTTTCATGTCTAGCATTATACAATAAGCAACATTGAAACCAGGCAACTGTTAATACAATGTGAAAAACATACCCCATAGATGTGTAGAGTGCTCCCCAAACAGGACCAAACACCCAGTTAGGTGGACACCAGGATGGCTTCTGTAGATGTGCATACCACACTGGAATTTGTCTTTTGGTTATCCTGCCTCCTAAAAATCCTCCTACATTGGGCAGGAGTGTGAAACCCACTACTGGGGCCCAGGCTTGTACCATTTCCATTCAGACAGTCAACCTGAAACAAACCCAGATGTGGTGGTTAGCAGAGCAATTTTTAAATGAAACTACAACAATACTCCATTTTTAGCTTATTTTAGAAATATCTGTGGGTAGGATCTGACCCACAGCCTAGTTCTGTCACTCAGAAAGACTGCAACCAAAATCAATGGATCTTGTACCAGGTTCATGGGACAATACTCACCCCCCATGAAGGAACCTGTCATTTACATGGGGGGGGGACACCTTTACTCACCTCAGCTTTGTGTACTAATATTATTGAATTTTACCTAGATATTTTCACCCATTAAGTATGCCAGAGAAATAAAGCTGTTTGGTATTCATTCCACTTAGGAGGGAAAATATGCATGAAGGTAGGTGTATTTCTGTGTTTAAAAAAAAATAAAGCCCATTCACTCAATGAAGTGGCATAGTCAAGAGTAAGAAAAGACTAACTTCCTGTGCTTAAGTAAAATAACTATGTGTTGTGTTGCATTTTTAGCATCAAAAAGGTGCTGAGGATGCTCCATGTTGTGAGTGATGGGCATTAGTAGCAGAGACTTGAGAAGCTACCTCAGGAAATCACCAGGGAGCACAATGAGAGGCTAAGTACTTAAATAATGTTTTGCTAAACAAGGAAGGAGATCTCGGTGGATAAATGGAGAGTGCACCTGTGGCTACTTTATGAAGCACTCAGAAGTTGCAGCAATTTTAGCTGCCAAGACCATGAAGTGTATTGGATTAAATTTTCCTACAGAAGTAAGACAGAACAATGCCTTGTTCTGGTAGGCCACACTGCTTTAGTCAGAGTATGGGCAGCAATAAAAAAGCAAGCAAGCAGGAAAAAGCTTCATTGCAGATTTTCTGGCCAAAAGCCAAATGCTACAGAAGAGCCGTGTTTAGCTTGCAAAAATGTAAACAGAGTAGAGGCATGATAAAAAAGGGCAGAACAGAAACACGTTCTTTTTTTTCAAATACACAGTAGACAAATACACCCAATTCCTGTTCATCTGTTATGCAAGACAGGGAGCCAGGAGGAAGGAATCTTAAGAGAGGTTGCAGTAATGGGGAAAGAGCAGCGGTGGAAGCCTCAGGAGAGAAAAGGTTTTAGAGCAACCGGTATTTCAGAGGCTTGTCAAAGAAGTGCCTTATTGACTTGGCTGTTGTCTTGGCATACGTTTAAAAGCTTTTATTGCCATAGTTGTGGCTGCTGGAATGAGGAGGCAGGGAGTAGTAGGAAAGTGGAAATTCCACTTGTAACAGATGTGCTTAAACGGGTAGGAAATGTCGCACAGATGATGTTGCGTTGTCGCAGTTCTGCTGGTACAGTGGATTTCTGTTTGGAGAACAGGTATAAATTTGTCCAGCAAAGGAACTCTCTTGCATCATGGTTTTGTTCCTGTACTCAGGTGTCTGGCCATACAGTTATGCAGATTTCATGAAAATATTTCAGTGACTGGAACTACAAGCCAGATTGCACAGGATTAAGAAAAAAATGGGCTGATAGAAGCAGAGTAGAATTTTGAAGCAAAGCAGAATTTAGAAGACAAACCAGAGCATGGAGGGACTGGTAAAGCATGCAGGATTAGAAAGTCTGTAAGGAGTAAACAAGAAGGAGCATGCAGGCTGCTGAGCTGTGGGCATGCTTTAGGGGAGAGTCATGGGAGGGCACTGAATAGGAAAGCACACAAAAAAAGGCAGCAAAACCATACAACAGTCAAAGTCAAAAACAACAAAAGAATGGAGAGTGAAAAAAAAAAAAACTTAAGCAGGGAAGAATTCAGAACTAGGACTTCGAAGAAGTGGGAGATATCCTAATCTGCTGGAATCGTATCAATGAGTTCTTGTGAAGGATGAACAACAAGGAGGGGAGGAAAAATCTGCATAGCTCATTGCTGCCATCCTTCCTGCCTAATGGATTCTACTTGCTATTTACAAGGGAGCGTCTTAAATGGAGCAAAGGAATGAACATGTATTGTTACCCTCCTGAGGGAGCAGGCTGTCAGCTGCAGTGTACACTGCTTGTCACCCCTATTGACAGCATGAAAGGGTCTGCTTTTACTGGGATGTGAAGGAATTGTAATGTGCTGGAGCAACAAGGTGTAATGGGAACAAGAGCTCCAACCACAATGATTCTCTTTGGATGCCTTCAGATAAGTAATTCCTAAAAGTTAAAATTAGAAATTTTAAGTTATTAAGATCTCATTAATTCTTAACTCCGTCGCTCTTGCTTTGCCTACAGAGAAAACACTAGTCTTAGTTCTCCATACATGCTGTAAAGTGCTGGTCATTGTGCAGCTCCAGTGTGGTTGTCACATGCTAATTTTATTAAATTTTTTTTTCAAGTGATAAGCAAGGGCCCAAAGGGGTTTATGCTTTATTTGGATGTAACAGTATCAGGGTGGTTTCCTGTAGGTACTAAGCAACTAGGCCTTGTCAGGGGTTCTGACAGTTTATCTCAAGGGAAAAAAGTCTGAGTGTTCTGTAAGCTGAAAGTGCTAAATGCTGTCAAATTGGAAAAGTACTGCTCTGCTGCAGTCATTAGTGAATAAATGATGTAGCTACAACCTCTGGGTGTTGGAGGACAAATGCTGAAATAACTCTTAAGTGACAAAGAGAAAGAAAATCAGGCAAACAGAAATTGGGAAGGCACAAAGCAAAGAAACAGGGAAAACAAAGCCATGCATGAACCAGGAAAGGGGAAGAAATAGAAATGATTGAACACACTGGCTTGAACTGAATACTAGTCTTTTGACTACTATTACTACTATTTATATACTATGCTTTCCAATAGTATTTCTCAGGACTTACCAAGCATGGCAAAATACTCTCTCTTTCATAGTACCAAAGAGAAAGAGGGACAAAGCCATGCAGCAAGACCAGAATGTGCTGGTAGGGTCAGCCTAGTAGACCACAGCTGTCCATCAGCAGTGAGAGCTCCTGTATTTTAATTCCCAAGAAAGGAAATACTAGTATCAGTTTCCCATAAAAAGCAGTAGCTAACTCAGGGAGCACCACTAGTTCATTTTGGAAGAAGCCATTTCTGTCTTCCTCTGGTTACTTGGTGCAGGTCTTTAGTGAGAGAGGAAGTAAAAGGCAGAAATGTGCTAGCAAGTGGGTACATTCAGTCAGTGCTGCAGCATTGGGTTAGCTGTGCAGCATGAGATGTGTGCGATGTTTATAGAACACCAGGACATTTTTGAAAGTAATGTCATCACAGAGTATATAAAGGATTACAAGCCCTGACTTCTAGTATATAGCTGGTAATCCTGAAATTACTTGGTGATAGCTTACATGGCACAGGTTTGCTAACACAGCCCCTCTGGCTGCATCTATATTGCACAACCTAGAAATAATTACTGCTTTCCCAATCATATCCCAGGTTCACTTCAGGGTGAGAGCTGGTTGCACAGCATTCTTGCACCCTGATTTTCATACTGAAGAAACCCGGATGTTCTATGGATCGTATCTGCAGCGTGCCTGGCAGATACCTGCCTCTAACAACCACCACAGTTGGAAATCTCTTATTCACACATACACTGAACTTGTTTATTGCTGTTTCCACCTCTTATCTCTGCCCTACAACATTTCCTTAATCACCCTACCCATCTTCTGTTTAGCCCTACCCTAACTTCAGGCAGTTACAGCAGTGCAGTGAGGGCTGCAGCAGGCCAGTTTGTTTTACAAAAGTGTTAACATAATTTTTCTAGGTACTCAAACCATCCAGCTTGCCCAAAGCTGGTTCCAGCTGCATGAAGTAACAGGAGGCAAAACCCTGCAACTTGCTGCATAGTGGGCTTCTATCTTTCTGCAAGTTGTTCCTCTGTGGCAGTGCAACATGCAGAAAACCAAACAGAAGCTGTCTATGTCCTCCTCTTTCTGGAAAAAACACTGCACACCACACCCAAAAAAAAAGGAATGGGGTGTGCTATTGGGCAGGACTAGATATATCATGATAGAGGAGCTAGTTTCCTTCAGCCTGATGAAAAATTAACTAAACCACCTTCCCTTTGAGCAGGTCTCTGAAAGGCAGACAGGCCCCTTCTCCAGGCACTCCCAGGGACAGCTTGGTCAGTAAGAAGGAAAGAACAACTACTTTCATTGCATATTCTTATACCCCTGTGCTGATAAACCTCTGCCTGATCCCTCTCTTGTGCAATTTAGTGCTTGGCTACCCAATCACATGGGGCTTAAATTACAGCTATCGCATTAAAAACACGAAGGAAAATCTCTCAGCAGGGCTAAATCGCCCATGCAGTTCTGGGGCTTCTAGTCCCTGCTGTTCAGAGGGTAGACTGACAAAACTGACCAAGCTCTGCCAGTACTGGAGGTCAGGGGGTGTTCCCCCAAAGTATACACTCTCCCTCTTGTCCTCTACAGTACGTTTTTTTTGAGAGCAGGTAAAGTGCTACCTAGGTCTGACAAACAGCATGCAGGTTTTCCCTGAGGAAACACCTTCTTCCTGAGGTAGCTGTCTGAAGAATTAAGGGGTACATATTTCAGTTATATTGATAAACTATGTCTGTTGTGGCTTTAACTCCTGGGAAATCACAACACTGAAACCAAAGTTCTATCACAGCCTGTGACACACAATACAGCTACCACAAAAAAAGCAGTCTTATCTTTGCTGTCTCTTTAAATGGTATGTGTCATATAAATACCTAACAAATACATGTATAGTATATATTTATAATATGTATTTATAACTAAAATTAAAAAATACTGTATTTATGTAAGGACATAACACGAGGTGTATTCATCAGATTTAGAGACAACAAATCCCACGGCCCAGGTTATGCTTCTTTTGAAATGGCAGAGCACAAAATGTGCAAATAAATCTATGATTTGTGGAAGATTCAGGTACTGGGAACTGAAACGTACCCCAGAACAAAATCTTCCTAAGTGATAGTTTTCCATTTATTGGCAAATCTTGTTTTTTCTGTGTACGTTTGCATAAAATCTTCTGCACACAGTGCAATTTAAAGGCCAAACGTCCCCTTGACTACCTTCCTTCTAAACAGGTACCTTTCAGGTATTCTTTTAACCACATCCGAGGGATGCTTAATAGCCACAAGAGAACGTTCATGGGGCATCACCACCGGTAAGTCTCAAGAACAAGCACCACGGTTGCAGGCACCGTATCACTCCCTGGTCTGCTACTGTAGTTTGCAGGAACTGGGCTTTGCCTGTGAAAGCATCAAGCAGGAAGGTCAGAACCACGAATCTTCCCTGGGCTTGACAGGCCTCTGGTAGTAGGAACTGTAATCTGGCTGCCTGGTGCAAAAGGGGCAGCCCTTCCTGTCAGGCAGGTGGGGCAGCTGGGATGCCCAGGAGCTCTAGGGCACAAGCTCAACAGGACAGCAGCGGGTGCTCAGTATTACTCAGGTACTGCCTCTCAGCACAACAGGCATTACCGCTGACATTACAGGTAGAGGCAGCTACCGAGTGGGATGTGGTCATACATTTGTCGTATAAATCCTGTATTACTGCCCGTATATTTCAGCTAACTTGACAGGCTCACTGGCTCTGCCAGGTATTTTACCTGGAGGCTGACAAAAATGGAGGAAACCACCTTATTGAGCAGCATAGGAGAGACATCAGAGAAGTGAGCTAAATCTGCTCACTGTGATCTTTTTTAATTGGCCCAAATATAAAGGCAACAGAATTTCTTGCTATTTTGACCCATTTTCCTTCTCCTGAGTTCAGCTAATGTAATCTCATTCATTAAGCTGCTGCTCTGGGAAGTCTGACTGGCTGCTCAGCACTCTTTCATAGCCCAAAGTGATGCAAAGGTATTGCACAACTGCAACTTCGGCATGGCAACTTTCCCCTTTTTTTTGAATGCTCCAGTTAGTAAAGTGCATCTTGTGCTGATTTGTGTTACTTGGAAATGCAGAAGATAAAAAAACCACCAAACAAGAACAAACAAAAAGTCTCTCTTAAAGAAACATTTCATTAAAAGCAGATTCAGCGATGCTTAGAGTACCTTTATTTCAACAGCAACCTGAAATAACCTTCACTCGAGTGCGGGGAGGCTGGGCTGCGGGCCCCCGAGGGACCGGAGCCACATGTGCGTCCGGCTGCGCGCGCCAACGCGGCTGGCTGCCACGCCGT